GAGGAGAGCTTGGGCTGCAGGGCAGTGCTGCGACTTCCCCCCTCGGGTCCCCTCAAGTCCAGGGCTGGGCCTGGGAGGAGGAGGGGATCCAAGAAGCAGCAAGGTCGTGTTCCTCTCCTGGACCACAGCCCCAGAGGTGGCTGCACAGGGGGCCCTGGCTCTGTGGGTCTGGGCAGAAGGAGCTTGTGGAATGGCAGGAGGCCCTCAGGCTCATTTGACCTGGAATGGCAGGGTCGTCCCCGAAGGTGAAGTGGAGCGGGTGACAGATGACTTCTTCCCACCCACCCAAAGCCAAACGCATATGCTTTTCTGGCTCTTGATTTATCTCCTGCCACAAACAGCAGCACTGAATCTAGCCTTGGGACTACTCAGCAGTTCACCTTCAGACCTGTGGGAAGGATGTTGGAGGTAGTGGTGTTGGCTGGAGCCTCAGGGGCTGGCAGTCTATGGCTTCCTCCTGGCTGCAGGCTGGGGTTCCCAGATAGCGGATGGAGAAAGCGCGCTCTGCTGGAGTTCAAGGGTCCTGCCTCATTGTCTCGGGCCATGACCCCAGATTCTCCACCCCAGGCACATAGATCCTTCCAAAGTGGCTGGGGGTTTGTGGGATTTACGTTAGTGCCCTTCATGTGGGGTCTTAGTACCAAGGCCCAGCTGGGACAGTGCTCGGGCCTTGGTGGGGGCTGTCTCCACAGGCTCAGTGCTGTCCCTTCCAGTCCCCCAAGGACCCGGCGGGGCGAGTACTCCGTCCTGCACAGTGGTGTTGCCCCAAGCAGGGCAGTGGCTGCTTCCTGGGATGGGTAAGCAGTGTCACACCTGGATGGTGGTGCAGACGGTGACCTTAGGGCCTCTTCATAGCTTGGTGGCAGCTGCAGGGATGGGAGCACAAAAGTATTAGCCATTCCCTGTCCTACCCCCATGTACATACATGCCCTTTCTTACACTGCTGCTCCTGTGGTGCCTCTGCCCCAGTGACAAGCTTGTCGTGGAGGCCCGTTTGGAGGAGCTCAGTAGGTCCCCCTGGGCTGGGGCCAGCCACCCTTCGCTCTATACAGAGATGCGACGGGACCAACCACATTCTAGGGTTCTCTACTGGTGGCCTTTTCTCTGAGTGGGCATTGTCTGAGTGCAAGGGTCACCTCTCCGTGGTCCCTGAGCCCGAAGCACCGTGCAGTCAGCTGGTGGATCTGCTACTGCCGGTCCTTCTTCCAGACACTCACACCTGGCTGCCACAGGGGTGGCTGGTGGCTTCTGGGCAGCCTCACATAGTATCTCACCCGCCTGGGGACAGCCCCAGAGTCCTCCTGAACAGTGTACCCAGGACCAGGGTCCCACACTCCCTCCCTCCTGAAGCCTCCCCGTTACTTTACACTCTTTTCAATGCTAACCCACCTCTGCTGCTCCCAGGAGGCAGCCCCACGGCCTTCCCTCGTCCACTCATCCCAGCGCTCTGGGCTCCTCTGTGCTGGCTGCCCATCAGTGGAGTGCACCACGGTGCTGAGGTAGAGAAGGGGCCAGGCTGGGGATCATGCAGATGGTTCAGGGTGAGGCTCAGGATTTCAGGTCAGCGTGCAGGAAAGCAGAGCCCAGGCGCTTGCTTGTTGGTGGCTCCACTTTCCCATTTCTGATTATCTGCATCACCCTCTGCATTCTAAAATGGCTGGGGTGAGAGATTCCTCTCCCCTGTCCAGTGGCAGCAGCTCTGGGTACCTTTGCAGGGAGAGTCAGAACTGTCCCCACCCTCCACCCTTGGCGTGGTGTTGAGTTGGGGTCAGAACCAGGGAGCTACAGCTCAGCTCTCCACAGAGGCCATCTGGTGCCCCTTACCTGGGGAGGGGACTAACCCTGGAGTCCGGGCTGGGCTTTCCCCTGGATCGGGGAGACTGCTGTCTTCACCGAGGGGTCCCTGCACAGAGTGGGGGCCAAATGGCATTGACCTTTCCATCCTGCTGCCCCAACTCCCAGGGAACCCAGCCAGAGGCTGCAGCGCTGCCCGCTGAAGGGCAGAACACAGGGCCCTTTCCTGGGAACTCGGGGCTGGGAGTGCTTATGTTATGGTCAGGATTCCGGAAGAAGTGACAGGAGCAGAGGACTTGGCAGTACCGCAGGAGGGCTGTGAGGACACCAGGGAGGAAGCTGCCCTCGCCCTGGCTCTGTCAGGGCAGCCTGGGCCAGCCTGTGACGCCCCCTCCCACAGTGGGACCTCGACCAGTGGGCTGAGTGGCTTAATCCCAGGCCTTCAGCTCAGTGAAGGGGTGACTGGACAAGGAACACTTTACAAAGGGACACTTGGAAAGGAAAAGAGCGGAAACTCCTAGAACGTGGGTCTGCAGAAGCAGGAGAGGACCAGAGAGCTGGAACTCACAGCCCACCTACTGTCAGGACTGTGGGAGGGGACTCAACGTGCTTCCCAAGTGCAGCAGGGAGGATGTCACTCTAGGTGACCTTAGTGACGAGGCTGGGCTTCAGTGAGGGGCCAAAGTTGTGTCTATCAGCTGGGGGTGGCAGCAGATACTCACCAGTGGCTGCAACTACAGCTAGCAGACTGTTACCCATGATGGCTTCTGTGCACAGAGAAGCAGTGGCATGGGGTGCCAGGAAAGGGCATCGGCCTTGAGGGAGACCAGCAGGGCCACACCTGCCCAGGAGCCCTGGCCCAGAGGCTCGGCCCTCTCAGGACCAGGGCAGCCGTGAGCTGTTCTCCAGCACCAGGTTTGACCTAATGCCCTGCAGCAGCCCTTGCTTCTGCGTGCCTGGCAGCCACGAGGTTTCTGCCACCTTGGGAAGGGGAGGTAGGAACAGGTGTGGCCCCTGCTGGACCTGCCAGCTAGCCAGGGGAGCCCCAGTTCACCCAGAGCCCTGTACTTCCCCAGCCCGACTGTCCACCTACACTTCCCATTGGCCCAGGAAACTGGGCTCTGGGTGCCAACCGCCCATCCTCTTGGCTCCTACTTCTGATGGAACCATGGTGTCCAAGGTCACCCTGGAAACTGGGCACAAGGGCCACAAAATACAAAAGCCTTTCTGCCAGGCTCTCCTCCTCCCTCCCAAGCAAGTATTGTGCAGCTCCAGGCCCAGCCTGCCTGAGCCTGCTCCCCATCGCTCGCCCTGTCCCGCTGGGCCCTGCCTGTCAGGAGAGGACTTCAAAGAGGCCTCAAAAGCCCAAGCTTCCAGGCTCTGCTAGCCCTGCAGAAAGCTGGGCGGGGACCATGATCAGGGATGAACTTGAACAGAAGATGGGCCAGAAGGGCCTCACCCTGAAGTAGGGAGGAGGCCTGGAGCATTGCCTGGACCGTAGAACTCCTAACTTCTGCCCTCCTCTCTCGAGGGCTGCTGGATCGCCATCTCAGACCAATTAAATCAGAGTCCTCAGGATCATTATGTGCTGAGCTAAAAAAGAATGCAAACTCCAGCTGGGGTAGGGTTGGGGGTGATGCACACCTGTAATCCCAGCACTCTGGTAGCCCAAGGCAGCATTGAAAAATTCAGTGCAGCCTGCACAACTTAGTGATTTAGTGAGACCCAGTCTCAAAAACTAAGTCTGGGAATGTAGCTCAGTGCAAAGCACCTAGAATCAACCCTCAATACACCCAAAACAAAACAAAACTCAGCTAGGTGTGCTGACACGTTCCTGTGATCCCAGCACTCAAGTGGCTGAGGCAGGAGGGTTGCTGAGATCCTGGTTACACGATGAGTTTGAGCCCAGCCCGGACTACATAGTAAGGCCCTGTCTCAGGGACGTAGCTCAGTGGTGCCACGCCTAACAAGTGCAAGGTCCTGAGTTCGAACCCTGGTACGGGGAACCGTGGTGCTAGCCTGACACAGCACAGCTCTGGCCTGGTGAACCCAGGGAGCAGGCTAACTCTTCTGCTGTTTACTGCCTGTGCCTACAGTGCACCTTAGGAATGTAACTTTTCTCACTGACCTGAGAGTTGAGGCTGGGAAACAAGACCAAATCACAACATTCTGGAGAACTAGAGCACAACTTCAGTTCCCTAAAATAGGAGTGAGGAGGAGGAGTCATCTGCACCTTTGCACCTCAACCTGTGCCGTCAGCCTTCCTGGTTACCTGTCCACGCCCTAAGGAGAGCATGTCAGTGCAGTGAGTGCAGTGGATCTGGGGCCTCCTGCGGCCACCACTGAATAGCTCACTCTGACCTTGGGCCGCACTTCACAGTGTAGGCCGCAGCTTCCCGAGCTGGTGCAGGAAGATACTAAAAGGGCCTGTCTGCAGGCTTCTGAGGATTGAGCATGGCGGCAAGATCAGCAGGGCTAACCGGTGGTCAGGAGCGCCCTCTCCTGGCAGCCCTGGCAGGAACAGTGAACAGTGTGGCTGGCTGAGGGTGAATAGAGGTCTGGCAGCCGCCTCTCCTTCTCTCCTGCTCCACGTATGTGAGATGTGAAGGACTGAAGCTGAGCTCTTTGACCTGGCCCTTCCAGACCCTAGGGGAGTGGCCAGGGACCCAAGCCCTTCTCCTGGCCTTCAAAGGACAAGCTCCCAGGGTAACTGGCAGGCCCTGGCTGGGACCTGCTCTGTTCTTGCTGCCTCCTAAGGCAGGGCTTTGGCAGGGAGTGGGAACAATGAGGGCTTCTGGGATGGGCCAGGGCATGCTGGGTCAGGGCTCTCAAGAAACGCATGCCTGCCTGTGATCTCAGCACTTGGGGGGTGGAGGCAGGAGTGTGACCGTGAATTTGTGGTCAGCCTGGGGTACTTAGTGAATTCAAGGCCAGTCACATAGTGAGACCCTGCCTCAAAAAAGAGAAAAGCCGGGGATTTAGCTCAGTGGTTTTGCCGCCTGCTGCGCAAGCGCAAGTACCTGAGTTCGATCCCCGGCACCAAAAAAAAAAAAACAAAGAAAAAGAGGGCTGTGGCTACAGATGTTTCTCCAGCCCCCTGGCTGTGGGCTGGACCCCTGCTATCAAGGAGTAAGACCATGGCCCTGGGGAGCAGCAGCTGAGACTTGCGGAAGGCCCTGGGAACACGCGGAAGGAAAGAGACAGGCTGGCATAGAGAGATAGAGCTATATTTCTTCTGTTGCATATTTCAGACTTCACACAGCTTCAGGCACAGTCAGCTCTGGGTTCTTCTGAGCGCCTGGCGGTCCTCAGCCAGGCCACTACTGAGGTTGCCCCTGCACCGGAGTGAGTGCATGGGGCCCTGTCTTGCCATTGCAGGCAGGGTGTGTGGGAGGCCCCAGAGCCAGCCCCACCCCTGCTCTAGGCTCCCCTGGCTACCGGGGAGAGGCTGTCCCGGGGCCCAGCTCCACAGTGGCCCACATCACCTGTTCTGCTGGCCTCAGAGCCTCAGCTGTGAGCACCACAGCCCGGGAGAGCGAGGCACAGGGCTCAGCAGGCCCTGCTCGCTCACCACAACATGGCCCACTTCCTGGGGCTGCTGCCAGCCCTATTGCACATCTCTTGTTTCTACTTCCTCCCCCACCACCCATTTTATATTTTAAAAAGTACAAACTAGAGGTGGGGGAGGCAGAGCCAGGCGGGAATGCTGGAGCCCTTCTCTGGTCCCGCCCCTCCAGTCCCTAGCAGAGCCGACTTCACTGTGTCTCCGGGCTCTTGGTGACTGAAATTGGGGACTGCCTGGGCCTCCTGGCCTCACCGGTGGGCGGGACATGCTCCATCATCCGTAAGGTGCAATTCCCGGTCCTCCGGGCACGCTGGCTGGGGCCCTGCTACCTGAGTCGCCCGTCTGCTTTGACAGGCCCCAGCTCTGACTTGGGGTCGGGGGACAGGGAGCTCCAGCTGGTCAGTCTGCAGGGTTCCAGGGAGGGGCAGGCTGAGGGGCCCATGGCACACAGTCCGGCCACAGACCAGAAGCTGCTCAGTTCCCCATCTGTCCAGGCCTCCAGCGCAGGCCCTGTGAGTTCTGCACGCCTCCGGGTGGCCTCCTCTGCAGGCTCTGGCTGGGGCAGGTTCAGGATGCCGCTCAGGCCTTGGAAGCTCTGCTCCGTGTACTCATTGTGGGGCGGGCCTGCGTGCAGCCAGCTGGCATCGTCTGGGGGTGCAGAGCTGGCAGTGAGCATGGCCACGGACCCCACTCCAGTGCCCATCTCGTCCCTCCCAGAGTCCATATTGCAGCGGGGCCTTGGGCTTGGTACAAGAGCAACTGTATAAAACCAAGGCAGTAACCCCTGATTTCCCAAGTTTAGGACTAAGTCAAACAGTGTACTCAAATTACTTTAGAAAGTAAGAAACAACTGGGTTTGTGTCATCCACACCCCTTCTTGTCCCTTGTCAGTGGCTCCCAGAGGCTCAGAAGCCTTCCTTCCTGTCACCCTTGCATCCACTTCCCCTCTATCCTCTGTCTCCCTCATGCAGACACCTGCTGACCTTCTTTGTTTGAGACAGGGTCTGTGTATTCCAGGCTGGCCTTGAACTCACTGTGTAGCCCAGGCTGGCCTCGAACTTGCAGCAATCCTCCTGCCACAGCCTCCTGAGTACTGGAATTATAGGTGTGTGCCATCACCATGCCTAGTGGCACCTGCCAACTTTTTTCCCTCAGCTCAGAACATGCACTGCCTCTGTCCTTGAGGCCCAGCCCAGTCCCTGCCTGCTGAGCCGCCTCTCCTCTTCCCTCTGGGGTCTCCTCCCCTGGACTGAGTCCCAGGTACCCTGGGGACCCAGCTTACCTGCCCTGGGTCTGCCCAGCCCCCCGCACACCCATGCTACTCCTGCTCTTACGCACCCTCTTGAGAGAGGACATGGCGGGGGAGGAAGCACACCCCACACCCACCACTCTTACCTCTCATCCCCAGAACCCCACGGGCTGCCCCTGGCAGAACCTGCCCAGCCCTGGCTGTTCCACCTGCTCCCTTGGCTCAGCCTGGGGGACTGGGATGGTCACTCACATTTGCTGTCCCAGGACTATGGAGCTTGGGGACCTAGAGGCTCAAGTCAGGCTCTGCTGTGGGGGGGCCACATACAGAGCAGCAGACAGAGCCAGAGCTTGAGGCGGACACAGAGACTGGACAGGATGTAGGACAAGGGTGGAGAAAGCAGCTCTGGTTCCCAGTGACACCTGACACGGCTGTGGGTCCCAGGGAGGGGCACGTTCTTCTATCATCTCTCTATTTTCACTCGAGCTGCTGGGGTGGGGTGTGCCCCATGCACCGCCCCCAGTGCACACGTAAGGAGATGGTGCTCAGGAAGGCCAAGGAGTTGCCACATCCCAGAGCCTGGTCTGCCAGGCTCGCGTGCGCCCCTTCCCCATGCCCACACAGGCCCTCCTAGGACAGGCTGGCTGCCTGTGGCCATCTCCCTAGCAGATCCTATCCTGCCCGGCTCCTGGGCATCCTTTGGGCCCGAGATCCTTACCTTTCCTGAGAGGTAGTTTGCGGTTGAAGGTCAAGGGCAGCACGAGGAAGCGGGTCTCACCCAGGGGCTCCCAGAACTGCAGCAGCCGTACGGTCCAGGCTCCCGGCCGCAGGGGCCGGCTGAGCGGGGGCTTATACTGGGTGACCTCAGTCTCCGAGTCCACGGTGATATCATACGATGTGGCCACCACATAAGCTGGGTCAATCCAGACCACAGTGGCTGTGAGGTTGGGGCCCCGGGCCCAGCGCTGCATGGCCACAGGCTCGTCCAGCGGTCCCAGCAGCCCCCCAAAGTTCCGGAAGAGACGCTCTTTGGGGTCCCACTCAGTGCCAACCTGCAGGGAGGCAGGCAGCTGGGCAGGTGCCTGGGAAAAATGTCCTCTCTACTCTGATGCTGCCTCTCACTGCCACGTCAGGCCAGTCACTGCCTCTCTCTGGGCCTCAGTGTCCCCATCTGTAAGATGAAGGGGTCAGACGGGTACTCCAATCTCTCGACCTTGACATCTGCTCTGGGCTTCCATCCTGACTGCTGTGCTGTGGGGCCGGCAGGGAGCCCATCCCAGTGGGAAGCCCCAGCTTCCAGGAGGACCCTGAGGGGACCCCCTCAATGTGTAACCCTAGGGCCCCTCTGGCACGTCCCAGTCCCGGTGGAAGAATTCCTGGGGTGTGGAAGACTGGGCTTGTGTTCAACAGAACTGACAACTCCCTATGGGGGAAGGGCTCCTTGGTGTGAGCAAGCCAGGTGACACAGGTGCTGTCACTGGGAAAGAGCGGTCCAGGGAACCCGGCCCACACAGGCCTGATGGAATCCTGACCCCTCCCTTGGCGTCTGTCCCTCTCCCCACTCCCTGGGTCTTGCTGGGGGTAAGGAGGAAGCAAGGGGGGGACCTGTCCCACCTCTACACTCTGGAGCCTGCTGGCCTGGTCACTGCGCCCCAACAGCTTCAGCGACCCCTGGGGCATCAGCCACATCTCAAGCGTCTCTGCCGGCCCCTGGGCTGAGGGCTGCACCGCCTGCGTCACCAGGTAGCCCTGGAAATGGTCGTCATAGAAATACAGGTGCACGCTGGACGGCAAACCCCTGGGCTCAAACCTAAGAGGGTTCCAGCAGGGAGAAAGGGAGATGCCATGAGCAACCTGGCTTGGCCTGGACTCTGGGGCGGGGCGTCACTGGGAGTCCCATTCCCGGGCACTTCCGGGTCCCACGTCTCACGCCCCACGGCACCTACATCCCTGGCTCTTGCCTTTCATTACTTTTTTCTTACATTTTTCCCTGCCTCAGACTGGGGCCTCACTGTGGGCAGTTGCTGTCTCTTTCTGATCACCCCCAACATGGCACCACACCCTGACGGCCTGTTGTATGTGGAGAGGGCATCTCACCTGCAGAGCGGGGCGGCCGGTGGGGGTGCGGCAGTGGCGGCGTGGCGCAGGCCAAGGCGGGCGAAAGCGGTGTAGGCGGTGAGCAGGATGTCACTGAGCCCACCCGGGCCATCGGCCACATGGTAGGTGTTCTCCCAGTAGGCCTTGAGGGCTGGCGTGCCCGAGGGGTAGCTGCCATACAGGTGGAAGTCCAAGATCTCCAGAACCTCCTGGTTCACGGTGGACTCAAACTTCCGGGCGAAGAAGGTGGGCCTGGAGACCTGCTGCAGGGGGGAAGGCGAGGAAGGTGAGGGCTGCAGGGGCCACAGAGATCAGCTCCTGGGGCTGCTGCTGCTGCAGCACTCCAGGCCCAGACCCAAGGGTGCTCCAGGTAGAGCCCCTCCTGCCTCTCCAACCCTGAAAGCTTGGGGAAAAGCTGGGGCCCCGGGAAAAACCTGCAGCCGCAGGAAGTCCTGGGGCTTGAAGTCGTTGGGGGAGCAGCCGCACCAGTCCACGATGTGCTTGTACTGGCACTTGCAGCCCAGCTTGCGGTTCCAGTTGGTGACCCGCAGGTTGTTGTCCACCAGGCTCTCGCAGGCAGGGCTGTTCTCCAGCACCGTGTGGAAGAAGGACTGGGGTGGCAGGGGTGGCAGGGTGAGCCTCTGCCAGCCCAGACACACCCTCCCCAGCCCGTTCCCACCCACTCGCCCACCTCGGCTGGGAGCAGTGTGTATGTGTAGAACTGGCGGAGCTGGGCCACCAGTGGGTCGTCCGTGTACACCACATACTCCACGAAGCTACGTGTCAGCACGAACCAGTCGGAGCCGCCGTCCACCACGATGCCCACTGGGATCTGCCGCTCGCCCAGGCGCCACATGTGCGAGTCACACTCATGGAAAAGACGGTCCAGACCCTGCTTCTTGATGAACCTGGGGGTGCAGAGGGGGTGGCTGAGGGTCCTGCAGGGTAGGGTCCAAGCTTGTGCATCCACCTGGCAACCAGTACACTATCTATGGGTGCTTGGGAGGCTCTTTTTTCTCGGCTGTGGTACTAGGGATCAAACCCAGGGTCTCATGCATGCCAGGCGAGCGCTCTACCACCAAGCTATAGTGTCAGCCCTCTTACTTTCAGACAGGCTCTCACTAAGTTGCCAGTCTGGCCTGGAACTTGAGATCTTCCTGCCTGAGCCTCCTGAGTAGCTCGGATCAGAGGTGTGGACTACCATGCTTGGCTGGTTTAGAGGTTTTGTACCACAGGGGTGGGGCCACTGAATCCCCCTTTTGTGGAAATGATGGCAACAAGACACCAGGGCCTCTGCTTACTTCCCTCACCTGGAGTTGTCCCGGCCATGTGACTTGAGGAAGTTCTTGTCCCGGTTTTTGGATAAGAATGCCACTAGCTCTTCATTGGTCCTGGCGAGGGAAGCAGGTACTCAAGTCTCGCTCCTGCTTGTACCGCCTGCACCCCCTGACCCTCCGTTCTCATTGAGAGCTCTCTGGCCAGGTTCCCCGTCCCAGCTGGTGCTCTGAGTGGGGGACCCTAGGGAGGACCCCACCCTTCCCCCACCCCTCGTCCCAGCATCTAAGGGCAGAGGCCTCTGGCTCATCCTCATCCCTGTGTCCTCAGTCCCAGTCCCTGCTACAGGGCTGGGGCAGGGGGCCCATGTCTGGGCCATGGGGACCCAGAGTGAGGCGGGGAAGCACACACAGCCTCCCCCACTCCCGTTCAGAGCCCCCCCACCTGGTTGGGTAGTCGGTGGCGCTGAGGTTGATGAAGAAGTCCCAGGTCCAGCCAGGGACCTCCAGCAGGTCCCGCATGCTGCGCAGGTACATCCTCAAGAGGCTGGCGCCACCCCAGATGGTGACCATGCGCCAGGGCGTCACGCGCACATTCTCATACTGCTGCGCCAGTGCCATCACCTCACGGTGCAGGTAGTTGGAGCGCTGGGGAAAGGGGACACTCAGTGGGTATAGCCAGGCCCCGGAGTATGAGCCCCCACCTCCACCCGGGGACAGAGTACAAGTGACATGGAGTGGGGAGAGCAAAGGGCAGGGCTCTGGCTCCCAACGGTCTATGCCACCTTGTTTATTTATTCTTCGGGTGTTTTGAGACAGGGTCTCACTATGTGGCCCAGGCTGGCCTTGAACTTATGGCGATCCTCCTGCCGCAGCCTCCTGAGTGCTGGGAGTACAGGTGTGTGCTACCATGCCTGGCCTGGCTGTGCCACCTTGTGCAGGACACCTTGGTTTCCCTCTCTCTAAACTGCCTGAGCCAGGGCAGAGATCTGTCTGTGACCTTTGTAGTCTCCGCTTTGCTCAACCCCGCTCCCTGGCCTCCTTGCTGCAGTACCTGGTCCACGTGGATGTAAAAGAAGTGCCGCTCATGGTACACGGCCTTCAGGAGGCGCTTCAGCTGGCGGACAGCGCGGCCATGCACCACTAGCATGTAGGCGATGCGCACCGGGGGGCCGTCCATGGGTGGCTGCGCCCGGATCTCCTCCCACTGGATGCCAGGACTCATCTTGCCTGAGCACAGGGAACGGGGCAGGGTGAGGCCCAGCCCAGGTTGCAGGGCTGGGCAACAGGAAGAGGGGAAAAAGAAGCCAGACCTGGAGCCAGGGTCCCTGCTCCCCCTTTGTCCCTTACACACGTAGTGCAAACTCTGGCGTGGAGAAGGTGGTGAGGACCCGGGCCACACGACTGCCCCACCCAAGCCTGGGAAGGAGCTGGGCGCCCAGGTCCCTCACCTGCCAGCTGGCAGTGCCGGGGCACAGTCTCGGGCATGAGGCTCCCAGCCTGGTGCAGGCACACCACGTTGGCGATCTCCTGCTGGCACTGCTTGGTGCTGGCTCGGGCCAGCGCAGACAGCGCGTCCTTGCCTACGATCTCACACTTTGGGGTGAAGCCATTGTCCGTGGGCTGGGGGGCGCCCTCCACGCTCCCCGTATCCCCATGTGGCGGGAAGCCGGCGGCCCCCACCAGTGCCTCCCCAGCTGCTGCCCCGCTCAGGTTCTGGCGGCCTGGGGGCTCCGGGGTTGGGGCTGGCGGGACCCGGCGGCTGGCTCGGTGCCGGCTGGTGACTGTCCGGACCACCTTGGCCACAGGCACGCCCAGGCTCTCCGCTCGGCCCCGCCAGCGCCCATGCCTTCTGCCCGTGCTGCCTCGCCGCCCGGCCGAGCTGTCTGTGTCCTTGGAGCCTTCACCAGGGTCCAGTGGCCGCGGCTTCCTCTGTCTTCCTTTCTGTAAAAGACATGGAGGTCACCGGGCAGCCACTCAGCTCCTCTTCCTCCCACCTTTCACCTGCAAGCTCTGCACAGGCGCCCAGACCAGCAGGTAGAGACTCCTCAAACCCACAGCACCCCATCACACCCAGCGTCCCCTGGCTCCAGATCATAGGGCAGTCTGCACTCGGCTTCTCTTTGCGCTCTGCACTGCGCTACCACTGTCTTCCAGCACATGTAAAAAATCAGTGCTCAGGGCCAGGGATTTAGCTCAGTGGTTTTGTCGCCTGCCTAGCAAGCTCAAGGACCCCAGTTCGATCCCTGGTACCAAAAAAAAAAAAAAAAATCAGCGCCCACTTAGGTCCCAGAAGGGTGCATGGACCCCGCAGAGGACACCAGAGCCTACCTAAGACCTACCACTTCCACTGGGGACTGGCTGGGAAGTCCCTCAAAGCCTCTGACTTCCGACTGCACCCAGGACACTCTCTGGACTGGAGTTCTCTGTGGGCTGTGATACGGGTGCAGCGGAGGGAGGGGTTTCACCAGGAAGCGGGCACAGAGGTGAAGCCTGCAACCTGCTGTGGTTTCTGTCTAGAGCCCAGCCCTCTAGTCAGCACGGCCCCTCACATCCAGCCAGCGGCAGAACCTGCCCCACTCCTTGCCCTGTCCGGCTCTACTCTCGGTCCCCAGGGTCCCTCCCCATCAGAGCCACAGCATTCCTGTCAGCACTCAGCCCCCACCACACCCACCTTCTCGTGCCCCTCCAGCCCACCTGGCCCTGCCCAGACACCTGCAGCCCTCTTTGCCCCTTCTCTTTGCCCACACGGTCTCTGCCACCTACCCGCTGGGTTTAATACATAATACAATTTTTTTTTGGGGGGGGTACTGGGGATCAAACTCGGGTCCTTGCACTTGCGCAGCAGGCAGCAAAACCACTGAGCTAAATCCCTGGCCCCTACCCGCTGGGTTTAGACTGCAGGTTTTCCTCGTTCTCTGCCTCACAGCACTTACACCTCTCTTCCCCCACCATGTATTCATGTTGTTCTGTGTCTGTTCTTTCACGTGATTTTCCCCCAATACTGAGGACTGACTTCACACTTAAGTCAAATCCCCAGGCCTTTTCGAGACAGGGTCTTGCTAAGTTGCTAAAATGCCCTGGGTAGGATGCAATTTTCGATCCTCCTGCTTCAGCCTCCTGCCTCCACCTCCCAGGGGGCTGGGATTACAGGTGTGTGCTACCATTTCTGGCCCTCACATGATTTTTTGTTTGGTTTGTGTGGTTTTGGTTTCTTGAGACAAGGTATCACTTTGTAGCCCAGGCTGGCCTCCTCAGCGATCCTCCTGCCTCAGCCTCCCAAGTGTTGGGATTACAACTGTAATCCACACCTGGATTTCCTCACATGACTGTAAAGTCCAGGGAAGCAGCACTTTTGCTGTTTTGTTCACTGACATATTTCAAGAGCACAAGAGAGTCTGGGCAATTGCGGGCACTTAATGAGGAAAGAATGAATGAATGAAAAGGTTTTAGTATAGACTCAACTGCAATAAATGGTGCCATCCTTTTTATTATAATTACTGGAAGGAGAGAAAGAAACAGGAAATGCAGTCAAGAGACTCTGAGCCGAGCCCCTCAGATATCTTGGGCTCCCTGCTCCTCAGCTCCCTAGGCCCTTCTGCCCCTCCTCCACCTGCACACGGTGCAAAGCTGGTGGCTGCTTGCAAGGCAAAGCTCCCCCACGCCATGGCACCTGGGCCCTGGGTCCAGCTTCCAGCCATCCCTTTGTGGTCTTGAGAGGTGTGTGATGTGGGCTGGGGTGTCCGTCCCCAGCTGTGAGGAGGCAGCAGACCCTGCTCTGTGCCCACTCTGGGGAGGGCACCGTGGGCCAGGCAGTCCCACTGAGGTGGTGACATCTGACCAGCCATTCAGCAAGGTGAGAAAGATTCCTGAGAGCGGCTGGGAGAAGAAGGGAGGTATGGGCCAGCGTCAGGAAGCTGGGCAGGACGGCAGGGCACAGGGCCAGGCTGGCTGTGGTGGGGCACAGGATGTGGGAGGCGGGCAGGCCGGTGACCTGCAATGCAGCAGAAGCTGGCTGACCCTGAGAAGGACAGTCCCAGAGGAGGCCAGGGGACCAAGAGGCAGTGTGGAGCAGCCTCTAGAGGCCCTGATGGAAGCCAGCCCCATGTCCCCTCCCAGGCTTCTGTCCCTAGAGGAGCCTGCCTGGTAGCCTCTGAGATCAGGGACCCCTCTGATCACTAAGGGTGGGAACCAGTCCTCCAGTCTGTAGCATCCTGGCCTCACCACCCCCTTGTCCCCACTGAGCCATCTAAAGCCTCTGCCACCTCTGGGCTCCAGCATCCCTGAATCCTGAGCCAGAGAGACAGCGAGCAGAAACGCTCCCCCAGCCCCACTCCTGGGCTGCTCGGACTGCATTTAGAACACGAAGTGTGAAAGTGCCTGAGAAGGCTCTGAAAACCACCAAGTGGCTCTTAGGAGGCGGCGATCATCCCAGGTACGCACCCTTGCCCTGCCATTAAGTGCGCAGCATAAATGCACTCTGGCTGGGGAAGGTACTCGAGCAGCATGTAGGATAGACCCCAGCCCCCAGCCATCCCACACCGTGTTGGGGACAGTGCCACGCCCTCTCGCCCACTCAGCCCATGCTCCACAGGGCCTCTGGTCACTCTCCTGCCCATCTCTTCCTCCAGGAGGCCCTGCCCACCTCCAATCTAAACCAGCCCGTCTGCCTCGCCCTGTACACTGTCTGCCCGTGAGGGCCGGCACCAACTCATCTATTCTTTATTTTTAATTAATTAATTTATTTTGAGTGGTACTGGGGATTGAACCCAGGGTTTCCCCACTGAGCTACATCCCCAGCCCTTTTCAATTTTTTTATATTGAGACAGGATCTCACTAAGCCACTAAATTGCCCAGGCTGGGCTTGAACCTGAGGTCCTCCTGCCTCAGCCCCCAGAATGCTGGGATTCCAGGCCTGCACCACCATGCGCTTCTACTTGCTATTTCTCTGTGTCCAGTACTGTATTAGCACAGTGCCTGGAGTCGCTAGGACCAGGCTGGGTGAAAGGCTGAATGGAGCCCCTCCTCACTGTGCGGATAGCTCAGCACAATGCCAGGACCCCTGCCAGAGCCACAGCCGTCCCTTCCCCCACCAGGAAGGTGCTGGGGGGGTGAGGCATAAGACATCCGCAGGGACACCTGAGCGGTGGCTCCTGCTTGTAGAGCTGCACTGGCTTCTGGCAGTCTGCTCAGCAGTAGAGCTGGGACTGGACGGTGAAGACGGGCACGCCATTTCACCGCTCACTGTCTCAGCGCTGCCTGGCAACCCCAGAGTCTAAGCAGGTGCCCACGAGGGGGCCAGGCACAGGTGGCAGGCAGGTCTGCACAACCTCTAGGTCACTGGAGTGCTTTCTCCACCCCAGCCCAGGGTTCCTCTGTGAGCTTCAGCCCAGAAGCTGGAAGCCCCAACTTCTCCACCCCAGGCTGTGGGCAGGGGAGCACCTACCTCAGCCCATGTGGAGGCTCGAAGCCCCACAAGCCATCTCTCCTGAGCGGGCCCTCCCAGAGTGGTCACACCCTCTGCTCAGTCACTCCCGGCGTCACAGGGCTCCCCAACTCCATCCTAGAACATCCCATCTGCTCAAAGCCACTTCTTGCATGGGACCTGAAATTTCTTCGTCTTCCTCCTACTTATAGCTCCCCGAAGAACAGCAGAACAAGTTCATTCCCTCCAGAAGTCAGCCGGCCGGCCTCCCAGGCCGATCTGCAGCTCCTTTTGGGGTTACGGACTCCTGCGACTATTCCTGCTCCCCTCACTGTCGCAGCACTGTCTCGTTCCTCCAAAAAGTCAAGAGGGCGGCTCTCTTCCCAGCCCCACCCAGGCCTTTCACACTCTGGGGATGCAGGAAGCCGAAGGGACAGGGGGGATCCCTGGCCTCCACCTGGTCAAGTGGAGATGCCCAAGAGGCCCTGGCAAGCAGAACCTCTGACCCGGAACTGGGGGCACCAGAACAAGCGCGTAGGAGCAGGAACCCTGCCCTCTGGCACGGCTGAGGGCCCTGCTGTGACCCTTCCAGGATGGCCCCACATCCGGCCCGCCCCTCCCTAGCCGCCCTGCTGATGCTCTGGGCCTCCAGGTGATGGCACAGCAGCCAAGAGTGCGGAAGATCCTTGGACAGGGACCGGGGACTCTGCTGAACCAGCTGCTACTGTCCCCACTGCTGCTGTCCCCTTTCCTTAGAGCTTGGGGCTCCCTCTCCGATCCTGACAGTCCCAAGGCCAACTCCTCGGTGCTTCTCCCTCCCTGGCCCCCGGTAGTGAAAGCCACACCTTGCAGACGCTCCAGTGTTCCCCGCCGGCACTGCCGTTCCCTCACTCCCAGTGCACACCTTGTCACAGGCCCTGATTCCAGCCCTGAGCTCCACTTCCCCGCGGGGCGCGGGTTCCGGGGTCCCTGGGCCCCACGCCTCCGCCCCCTCCCAACTTCAGAAAGTTTGGCCCGGGGCGCCCACCTCCGCGCAGGCTCCAGCCCAGGCCCTCGCCCCGCGCCTGACCTTCAGCGCCCCCGGCCAGAGACCACCCCGCCGCCACGGCTACTCGCGCCCGGTCCCCAGCGCGCCCGCGCCGGGCCTCAGGGTCACAAGCCGCCCCCGCGCAGCCCAAACCCGTCCAGGACAGGGCGCGGGGCCGGAACCCCGCTCCGGGCCGCCCACGCCCGCCGCACCCGGCCCGAGCCCCCCCCCCCCCGGCCGGGCCCCGCAGCCGCGCCAGGACCCCGCGCGCCCCCGCCCGGCCTGCCCGCCGCCCGCCGGCGCGGCACCTCGCCCGACTCGTCCTCCTCCAGGCCACTGAAGCTCCACACCACCAGGCCCTGCAGCAGCAGGATGGCCAGCGCGGTGGCGATCGCCAGCTTGTAGCGCCGCACCAGCTTCTGCACCCGCGCGCTCGCCACCATTTTCCTGCCCGGGACGCGGGGCGCGCGCCCAGCCCTGCAACCCGGCCGCGGGCGCGCGGGCGCGGGCGCGCGGGGTCGAGCCCCTCCGCCCGGGGAGGTGGAGGAAGGGGCGGGGCACCAAGCGGCACGCCTCGCCTTCTGGGCGGGGGCGGGGCCCGGGCCTCTGGTCGCCTGGGGCGGGGCCCGGGGCGGGGCCTGGAGCGCGGATCCTTACGCGCAGTCTCCCTGGCCTGGGCCACCTCCGGTGCGGACACGCGAGTGCGCGTCTCCCTGACAGCAGTCCCGTTGCGGGGGGTGCAGAGGGTCTGCTGCCTCGCCTGGTGCCAAGGGGCGTGGGGGGCTCAGCCCGAAAGACGACACGACGAGCTCTGGGTCCCCGGGAAGCGCGGCGGGAGAGGTTGTGCGGGACCCCGCCGAGGGCGAAGCCCACAGCTGCGCCGGCTCTGTCTCTGCTCTCCAGATCCCAGGCCTCTGCTGGAGCCGCGGCCCCCAAACTCTAGGCTACACCGCCGGAGCCCTGGGGGACTGGGCAGAGCCGACCTGCCGTCCCCACCCGGGAAGCGGGCCGGGGTGGGGATCAGGATTGCGCGGTTTCCCGGGCGCTGGAGTTGCGAGCCTGGGACACACGAGGGAGCCGGGAGCCCTCAGTGCGCGCTCCGTCTCTGCCGGCCCTGCGACTCGGCGTCTGCTCCCAGCGCCCTGCGGTCCGCCCCTGCTCGCCTCTTAGGTGTTGGAAAGGAGCCCGGGACGCGCAACTTCGGTCACCCGGTGGCCGATCCTAACGCGTCCCGGAGTCCAGCACGGTCAGGTTCAGTTTAGGATTAGCACCAAATACAAGCGACCTCGCCTGAGCCTAGCGGGAGGTGGGGGGCAGTCCCCACCAAAGAAGGCGGACAGAGATGGCAAAACCAAGATGGAAGATTTAAAACGAAGACTGGCCAGGCGTGGTGGTGCACGCTGGGTAATCCCAGCACGTGGGAGGCTGAGGCAGGAGGATCACCCAGAGTTTGAGGCCACCGTGAGATCCTGTCTCAAATGGTAACAATAGTAATAATAATAATACATTTAAAAAAGTATTTCTTTCTCTTCCTTTATTCTATCGACCTGACTGGCTTCCTTCCTAGTTTCCTTCTTTCCACCTTTACCCCAATAGTAATCTGTACATAAGGACACACATGCCTTTGCAGTTATTTTTGGAGTCATTACATTTACTTATTTTGGGGATATCATTACTTTTAAAGACTGAATCATACCTCATGCACTCCCTACATCTTTCTTCCTCCCTAAACATAAATGCACAGTAGAAATTCCCCTCAGTTGGGTGGGACAGAGCTAACTCATCCTTTTTAATGGCTGAGTAATATTCCATTCCTCCCTGAAATAGGCACTCTTTAGGTTTCTAGGGCCTTGCCAAAGCTACATGCTTATTATGCTGCAATAAACACACTTCTAAGCCTCTGACTAGTGTCTTTATTTTGGTGGTAGCCTTTCCCAAGATTGGGATTACTGAGGAAAAGGGAATTTTAAACTGTAGTAGAAATTGCTAAATTGTTTTTTGCAAATCTTGTGTGAATCCACATTTCCAGCAACGACAGAGGGTGAAGTTTTGCTGTGCCCACTCAGCAGCAGGTGTGATTGTTTTTAATTCTTGCAACTCAGATATGTGAGAAGTGACCTCATTGTGTTTTAATTTGCAGTTCCTTGTGGGCCCTGTGAATTGATTTTTCCACTGTTTGCATTTGCTGTGTCCCAGAATGATCTCTTCATATACTCCACAAATTATTGCTGTTATATCATCTTCTACTTATCAATTTTTAAGAATTTTTATCCAGCCAGGCAAAGTGGTGCACACCTGTAGTCCCAGCACTCAGGAGGCTGAGGCAGGAGGTTGGCCAAAAGTTTGAAGCCAGCCTAGACTACATAGTGAGTTCAAGCCCAGCCTGAACTACTTAGTGAGACCCTGTCTAAAAAGAAAACAAAAAAGTATA